TGAAATCCAGATATCTGGAGCTTCAGGATATGAAGCTTTTACTTGAGCCGCGATCCCCTCCCCAGCAAGGATGTTAATGCATGCGGCCCCTAGAGAGAGTGGCTCGGCAGAATGACAAATTTGGGATATTCACCGGTCTCGGTTCTCCTAGAAGAGCTACCAAGATGGTGCCCTGCAGCTTCAAAAAAATATTAATAACCCGCTTTTTTAGACGTGACAAGTGCTATTTGGGCGGACGGCGTATGCCTGCCGTCTAGATCGTGATTGGCTCGTGAGTGGAGGTACCGTACTCAACTCGGCAGTAACTGGATTACTGGCTCCAGTAGACACTTTCGCGATCCGCCCCAACGGCATTTCACGTCTGGAAAAGCGGGTTAATGTTATCTTTGAAGCTGCAAAGCGCAGTCTTGGGCTTAGCTCATTCAGGAGAACCGAGTGTATATCCCAAAGCTGTCACTTTGCCGAGCCGCTGTCTTCAGATACTCGATTATGAGCTTCTAAAAATTACTTACCGTTTCTCGTTAAATGTGGTAATCACTTGATTTCTAATGTCTTCCGTCATACAACCACTCGATCCTGGGGTTGTGGTTGCTTGACCTGCCGCCGAAGACGATGACGCTTGAGCTGGGGTCGTTGAAGCTGCAGCTGGTGTTGTTGTCGCTGCAGCTGGCGTTGTTGTTGTTGCAGCTGGTGTTGTTGTGGCAGCTTCTGTTGTTGTCGGAGCTGGTGTGCTAGTGACCTTGGCGCTGGTAGTAGTTTCTGAAATGACAAAAAAAATTTCGAAGAAAAAATCTATGGTTCACGAGATGCTCACCATCTATTGTTTCTGCATCTGTACAGCACAGACCTGCTGTAGGGCTTTGATCTGCATCGGCTACTGCAGCATCGTATTTGTCACAATCAGCATTCGACACTATTTCCTTGCACCACTTTCTAGTGCAACCAACTTTCGTACTGTTTTCAAGATAAAGAGGTTCTCCAACTTTTGGCCTCAAAAATTGAATTTTGAAACATATCAAAAAAAGGTAATAAAAATTACTTACATCTCGCTATAAACGCATGCAATAGCAACTTTATTGGTGGTCTTTTCGCAGATATCGTGACTACATCCAACTTGTAGTGTCTTGTAATAAATCATCTAAAATATTGAGAGTTGACAAGCACAACAGCTGATATTAAGGTTTTGCTCAAGTGTAAAGCTCTTGCTAAGTGGACAAGATACATAAAATATTTAATAATATTAATAATATATTTAATAATATATTTAAT